TATCCAATAGTTAAATGTTTGGTGACTAGCTCTGAATGTGGGCAGCTAAGATAATCAGAGAAGAACAAGTTTCAGAATTGCGCAGATTTTTACACTGAGAACTTACAGATATAATTAGAAACACGCCGACTTGCTTTTTATACCAATAAGAAAAACAGTAGGCACAATTAATTGAGTGTTACGGCAGCGGATATTGCTTTTAAAAAAAGATATTTTAAAAAATAAATAGTAATAATTTTCAGTGACAGAACATGACGTGCGCAGTGCACCGGAGCCTACGTTTAAACCTTGTGTTTCATATGTCAGTTCTATAAGAAATAAAACGCACAAATTATTGAAATTAGAACATCTTTCAATAGCTGGATACAGTTACACACCACATTACAAAAAAAAGCTCAGAAACCTTTTCCTTTCCAGCCCCCACAGGCTCCTTCCCCACGCAGACGACATACATGGCCAGAATTCTAATATATTCGTATGACTCACAGCATAGAAGGGAATGTATCCAACCTTACACAGGGAGGAACTAACATCCCTAATCTGTTTCTGTGTGTGCCCTGCATTAGTCATTGCTATGTGAGCAGCATGCAGGTTGGCTGTAACCCCTGCTAAAGCAGAGCAAACATTGCTTTTTTTTCTACTTCCATTCATGCTTTCAGCATACAGCAAGACCTTCTCTGTGACCCAGAGATTTATTTCTAATAACGTAAAAAAACATTCACCAAAAATTCTTCAGAGTACAGGTTTTCAAATGTAATACTAGATAGACAGACAGACAGACAGACAGACTCATTTGAGAAGGGTTCTCGATACGTATGTTACCATATGTCCGCCTTGTCTTGTTGCAACTGCTTGTTGGTTAGCCCATCTACAATGCTGTCAAGTGTTTTAGCTCTAGAAAACACAGACAGACAGACAAGATACACAGACAGACAAAAAGATCAGATGGACGTATAGTCAAACATACGATAGATCAGGCTTCCCCAAACTCCGGCCCTCCAGATGTCGCTGAACTACAACACCCATGATTCTATGAATTAAATAGATAGGCTGAGAATCATGGGAGTTGTAGTTAAGCAACATCTGGAGGGCCGGAGTTTGGGGAAGCCTGCGATAGACAGACAGACAGATTCAAACAGGTAACCAATGAAGAGCTGAGAGAAAATCAAAAGCTTTGCTGCTTTTTATACTTCGTTTTTGTAAGAATTTAGTAAGATATTATTTTACTGCTACACCTCCATGCTATTATGTACAAACAAAACAATATGAGAATTTAGCATAATGTGGGGTTGTTTCACATATATAAAACCTTTTGACAAATGTTTAGATTTATTTGAGTGAAATTTAATGTAGGACTCGTGTATGGTTTAGAATAGCACATTCATTCCTTAAACAAATACACAGTATGTATGCGAGGGGATTTGGTACCAGAGTTTTATTATAATCTCATGGGTTTGATTTCATTTTGTTTTCTTTATTGTTCAATGTCATTGCTTGCATCTGCAACTGATATTCAGAACATTTATGTGGGATTTCATAAACAACCAAAATAATAAAAAATAAACCTAAAATTAAAGGGTTTTATTCACCCAGCGGCAAATTTAAGTGACATAAATAACAACATTTTGAAAATTTATGCTAAAAAAGCCAAGCTCTGACAATAATGGATTTGGAAACAAAAGCAAAAGTGAAGAAGGTTCTAAATGAAGTCACTGTTTATAAGCTTCTAGATTGCAGTCCCGGTCATGTGTGTCCTTTCATGTCACTGACATGGTATGTGAAGGAGACACAGACACAGAGGAGGAAAGTTATTAAAGGATCACTATAGTGTCAGGAAAACAAAGCTGTTTTCCTGACACTATAGCGCCCTGAGGGTGCCCCCAACGTCAGGGTCCCCTCCCGTGGTGCTGAAGGGGTTAAAACCTGAGGCACCTGGCACCCAGACTACTTCATTGAGCTGAAGTGGTCTGGGTGACTATAGTGTCCCTTTAAACTGTTCTTGATCTAAAACGTGGTGAAAATTTGTAAAAGTGAAGTACTCATCACCAGAATATGTCTACTGATTCCATTAGGTTCCACGTTGATTTCTGGACTTTTTTACAATTTTCCACCCCTTGTCAGATCACAGCACTTTAATACATTTTCACCCAGATTAATGTTTCTCGTCCTTTGATGCAATGTGTGCCTTGGTCAAGCTGGGATGGAACTGGATGATGTAAATGTCTCAGTCTATTTTAATTGATAATAGAATCATTTTCAAAAATTTATGGTTCCCCTAAGTAGGGACTGGTTTTGTCCTGGCTATTTCAGTGATAGTAAAATTCTGGCTATATTTATTTCATTGGAGACATAGTAAGTTGTGCCAAGACATTCTTCCCAACAGTCTGGGTTTGGCAGGGCGGTCCCAAATCTGAGGTCCTGTGTCACCATCCCATGGAACTTGAGGAATTCCTATAATGCATAGTGTGAGCATATTAGTAGACATGCTTGCACTGTGCGAATTAAGATAAGGGCATTGAGCGCATGCCCAGAGTGTTGTAAAAGCACATGCTGTCTTCAGTAGGTCAGGCCAGCGCAATGGCCGGTCAGCTAGGCCAACATGACACTTTTCAGATGTGCCCATCCCCTTCAGATGTGATTGGATTGTCCATATGAGTTACCAATGATAAAAGACACATTACTAGCACACCATCTCTTGTCATGGCATCAATATCCTGGCTCCATGCCTACCAAAACTGGAAATTATGGATAGCAGCTCAGTATATGTAAGCTAAATACACCAAGCTGACTTGACTCAACTTCACCAGTAAATGGGGCACCCACCATTTACCTTGTCATATATTTCAGAAGTAGTGCTTTGTGAATAAACCTCTTAGTGGGAAGCCAATTTCATATCCCAAGTTTACCATTTAAAATGGCAGTGGGTATGGTAAAAAAAAGAAAGATTGATGCAATGGGGTACCTTCCTTTACCGTGTATCTTAATAAATTGTAATTTTTAAGGCAAAATAGGCAAATTTAGAAAATGTATTAATCTCATTTTTTTTCCACATCAAGTATAGGCTATTGCTTGGTCAGAAATTTGCCATTCCCTGTTTGATTCCCAACCCTGACACCTGATTTAGCGAATAACCCTGACAGAATCTGAAAGAGCATTATTAGTTTTTATATTCTGCTCCACTTGTTGCTGAGCTGCCAGCAATCATCTCTAAATGAAATATCCCTGATGTGAATGCATGCTGAACCAGGCCATGAATACCACAGAGCATCACAATACATGTCCTTGGGTTTCTGTTGCACTCTCTATACCAAAGCACAAGTGGAGGAATAAAAAAACATAATACACTTTGTTGAAAGACTGCTCTGATTTTTTTCAAGGTCCTGTATGCATTTTTTCACCCTACTCTGCTAATGTTTGAAAAGGATCATTTTGAATGTACTGGCTAAAGCACTTTTTTTTAGTTATTACTTCATTTGTACATTATTACCTTGACGATTGCATTATTTCAGCTTAACAATCATAATTAAAGGGACACGCCATGCTACTTACCACACATGTTAGGTGCCCTGTGTAGGTTAGGTTACAGTTATACTGGGTGTGTTTATATTATTAAAGGGACACTCCAGGCTCCCACACACGTTAGGTGCACTGTGTAGGTAGGTTACAGTTATACTTTGTAGGTTTACATTATTAAGGGACACCCCAGGCCCCCACACACATTAGGTTTACTGTGTAGGTTAGGTTACAGTTAGTTATATTGGGTGGGTAGAATTATTTTTTTCAAATTTATCCAAACAATTTATAAACCAACCAGAATTGTTTGAGAGGATCAGTGGCTCAGCCATTTTTTCTGGGACCCTTGTCACCAATACAGCTATCCCGGGCTGTTGGTAGGACATCAGCACAGTTTTAAATTAAATTGTTAAGAACCAAAAATATTTAAAACCCATGGTTCTACAGCAGATTTATTTGCTGCCAGTTTTTCCCCAACATTTCCCCCCAATCTCCCTGCCTGCATGCATGCAGATATATCAGTGTTGTTTTGACAGATAAACCTGTGTGCATGTAAAGACCAAGTGTGTTCATTCCCTCTTAAGGGCACTCTCATGCTGAAAAACTCTGCTCAGAAACATATTAGAAAAATCCCCCAATAACCTCGACATCCCCCTCAATAACCTCCTCACCATCATTTTGGGCCATCGTCTCATGCAAAAAGCACTTACATTGACTGTTTGAATGTATGCTTTTGTCTACTGTATACATTTTATTTATTATTATGTCATTAACAGAAAAAACATTGCAAAAATGTGCTTTAATCACTGTGGAATCCAACAGAATATGCATGAACATTCTAGTGATCCCAATGATGGTT